CTAAAATATTCTGAAATAGGTTAAATCTTATATAAATATTACTTTGTGCAATATTGTTGTGTAGTTAAATGCATATTAGCAAAGTATAGAGGTCACTGTGTAAACAGATAGAAAAGTAACCATCAGCAAATACTGCAGTGATTAGTTAGAATCTGTATTATTCCTTATATATATGTATATGTATGTATTCTCTGTTACAAAGGATGAAGACAAATAGGGATACATTTCAATGTAAACCATTTATGAATTGGAAGTGATGTTGGCTTTAGTTATCTTTGTAAATAAGGTAATTAGAATGGTATGAAAGGTAATGTGATTATTGCAGGGGTGTTTTTAAATCTTGGGTATAAATTCTATGGTAAATTCCAGTTTATCAATTCTAGTTTTTAACAGGACCTGCCTTTGAGGGTGTTTTTTTGTTGTTTTGTTGGGGAGGGGTTTAATCACAAAGTGTGTGGGTTTGGGTTACTTCTTGTTTTTATTTTTCTGTCCAGAAGAGCTTTACCAGGCTGTGCAAAGTAAAATTCTTCTCAGGCAACATTTGCTTTTAAAAATAATCATGAAGAGAAGGCTGTTAAAGCAAAAAAAAATTTTTTTTAAATTTTTTCTTGTCTTCCAAGATCCGATTTCCCCATCTCCCACTTGCCATCCAGCAGATGCCATCTGTCATCCAAGCTGGTCATTGCTAATAAACAAGGAGACTGTCTCCTGACAGCCAGCACTGTGTATTATCACTCAGGAACCAGCGGATCTGCAAAGACCTACAATCAAAAGCAAATACCCATTTTCCTTTTATAAAACATTCTACCCTCACCTCCAATATAAACACATTAAGAGTACAATAAAAATGTTTAAAATCATGTACTAATAAATTCATTGTATGTTAGAATTGCAATAGAATGGAGAGAAACATTTAGCTAGTAATGTATCTGAAAACTGAATGTCCTATGTGAGTATTAGATTTTAATAGCATGCTTTAAAGACTGATGAATATAAAAGCAGAAGTTTTGCATTTTTTACTGCTTTCAAAGCTGTATCCTAGTTTAGTGATACAAATGATTGCAATTTTTCTAAATCATTAAATTATTTGGTTTGGTGGAGTGAGGCATGGAGCAATCTGGCGTCTTCTGATTTGTTAAAGTAGTGATGGGAGTGAAGTTGTAACTGAAATTTAAGCTGATCTTCCTTTTTGATATATTATCCGTTGTGCCAGCTCTTGAGATTACTTGCACAATGTGGCTATAAGTTTTAATATTTTGTGGAGCAGAGGGATGGTTTTTAAATGTGCTTATGGAAAGGACCCAATAAATGAATATTCCTAACTTAGTAAAGTAGAATAATTTCATGGTACCCATTAAAAAGGATAAAAGTCTTCCTCTTGCCCCAGAAGTAATTCTCGATACCAAGATATGCTAGGAGTAGGATGATTCAAAGCGGTAACCCAAATTCATAAAGCAATAATAATGAAAACCTACATAGTATGTTCCCTCCTCCAAAGTTTTAACTCTAAAAATTGATTCCTAGGTTTAATTGTACTTTTAATTTGCTTATTCAGTACTTAGAATTTAACTGGTACTTTTATTATTTTTTTAGTGGAAGACTTTTGAAAAGTGCCCTTTCCCCTTAAGAGACAGTTGGAATACCAGTTGACTGATACTACAAGCTCTTATGGGGGGAAAAAGGAGCTTATTAAAGTTCTTTACTAAACTTTGGGAAAAGATGTCTTGCATCAGTCTTACTAGGCATACAAGTCACACTTAGTGACTGGAAAAAACTTGCTTATTGCCTTTCCTTATATAAATATTGTCTAGAATGAAAGCTAATATAGGAACAAGACTCCCAAATCCATGAAAACCCTTAGTGAATATATTCTTAATCATTAATATTAGCCCATTATATTTTCATCTGTATTTGCCATAAAAAATTTATTTGCATTTATGCCTTTAGGATAATTTTGTATCTTTCTAATCTTTTATCATTGCTACAGGTTTTTAAAAACCTTTCACTAGCACATGCCAGAGGTTCACATCTGTGCTGTTTTGTTTTTCAAACAGGTTGTAGCTGTATTTACTGGCCATGCAAGTAGAGGAAATGCACAGTACAAATGTTTTTCTTTAGCACGTAAGGGACCTATCCTTGTCTTGAAAGTTTGTTACTTTAAAAGCAAGTATCTCTCCATAAATATTATGGCCTTCCATTTTCTTCATACATTTTTTAGGATCCACTTGTGCATGTAGTTGAGACCACTGTCTCTTAAAATATAGCACTTTTCAATTCTCTCTGAAGAAATACTTATGTACTACTATCACATGTTGTAAATTTTCATGTAATAGTGTTTTCTGTGACTAAACTCCATTTTGATTGGCAGCTAAGACTTTTTTTCCTGTGGCTTTTATTTATCTAAGAGGTCTTTGCATATAGATGAAATGTATATTTGCCTGGCGGACTATTTGCGTTGTGTGGCCTTAGTTTGTTTATTGACATTAACAAGTGTTTTAAAAAGGTTTTTAATGAATAGTCTTAAATCTAAATTTGTGTGAATAATCCTTTTAACACAGTGCTTTTTTGTAGCTGTCTAAGTGTGTTAAATTGTTAAGCTATTTCTTTGTAAAATAGGACAATGGAATGCATAGTTTTTTTTTTTTTTTCCTGTAAAGTATTTTTTTAATAAACAAAGTCTGATTTGTCCTTTACTGGTGTTTCATCACAAAATGCATAGCATAGCATATGCGAGTTCTAAATACCTGGAACCTATTTTTAGAGGACGAATCCTTCACCTACTTTATCACCTACTACTTCAAAAAATTTTTTTAGAAAATCTTACGACTTTTCTTTCTAAAGATGTCTGGGGAAAATGCCATCCATATTGAGATGCAATTAGTTTGGGGGAAGAAGAAAAAATCACTTGGCATTTGCTGTAGTTAATGCTTCTTAATTGCTTAAATTAGTGTGTATCTACTTAAAAGGACAGTCTTAAATTTGTATTCTGGTGATGTGGATTTTCTTGAAAGTTCATTATTAATGAAGATGGCGTATAGACTTTTATGTCATTGATGTATTAATGCAACACCACAAAATGGATTTCTTTCCTCATCAGTTTTTGTGTGAACTTACCTTTAATTGAGGTACCTTTCCTAAGCACTGATAGCCTTTGATTCTGATTAGGAAAGGAAAAGAAAGGGACTTCACAGTTTTTGAGTAACTGCCATGGGCCAGGAAGTTTATATGAGGGTATCTCATTTAATCCTCACATCCTTAAGAAGGCAACTATCTCCATAATACAGGTGAGAAAACAGGCTTGTTAGTTGAATAAATTGCCTAAGATCACAGATTATTGGTTGGGAGCAAGGATTCATACCTTGTTCTCTGGTTGCCTTAGGAAGCACTGAATAGTTGCCAACAGGGCACCTGAAAAATGGTTTGCTACTTAACTACTATCCTCTAATACTACTTACCTGATTTAGTTCCTCCACACACTGCCCGGAAAATCTTTTGTGTGCCAAACAATGAAGTAAAGTACTTTTGCTATTAATGTAATTGAGGTTAAATATTATTACGTGTGCAAAATTCTACGTTTTTCACTTGTCATTTATCTTTCTTTTTTTTCAAGTTGGTCATTTGTCTTGAAGCCCAACAGAATTGTAATGTTTAGCACTAAGGAAAGGAAAAGCTGTCAAGGATTAAAAGGAAACCACTGCCAATGTGTGCAATATAAAAAGGATAAAATAATTTTTACTTTATTTGAGACAGGGTCTCTTGCCTAGGCTGAAGTGCAGTGGCGCAATCATAGCTCACTACGGCCTCGAACTCTTGTGCTCAGACGAATCCTCCCGCCTCAGTCTTCGAAGCAGGTGGGACTACAGGTGCGTGCCACCATCTCCGGCTAATTTTTTTTTTTTTTTTTTTTTTTTTAAGAGATGGGGTCTGGCCATGTTGCTAAGGCTGGTCTCAAATTCCTGAGCTCAAGCGACATTTCCGCCTTGGCCTCCCAAAGCGCCCGGATTGCAGGCGTGAGCCACTGCGCCCAGTCTGGGGGAAATAATTTGTAAAACTTAGTCCTGTGGGAGTTATTTTAGCTTAGTCGATTTTCCTTATCCATGAAATGGGATAACTTCCACCTGGTACCCACTCAATAGATGATAAGAAATAATGTCTGTAAAACCGCGCCTTTTAGGCTTTCTTGAGTGGAAGCTATTATCTGTCATTAGCTTTCTCTGACCCAGGTGCTACACGCAGTGGGCCAGCAAGAACACAGCTTCAAATAAGGTGGGGAGAATGACTAAGGGGACAGTGTTCCATTAATGGCCAAAAAAAAAAAAAAAAAAAAAAGGAAAGCAGCTTAAAAATCCTTTTAATGTATCCTTAAATATTCACTTTAGGGCTCAACCTTTCTTTCCTTTCTCCTGACCTCTATCGGCCCTAATTAACGTGTTCCTGCCGCCACCTAACTTTACCCTATTTTGGAAAAAGCTGTGACTGCCCGATACTTGTCCCTCTTTTTCCCCTACCTTTGAGCCCCAGAAAGCTCCAGACCCAGAGCTGCTGAGGGGCGGGAGAGGAAGGGAGTCACTAAGCCGCAGCTTGGCCCTTCCTCCCAGGGCAGCGTAAATTCACATAAACATTCATTCATTCACTCAACAAACATTGGGAACCTAAGTGTCATGTTCGTGCCAGGCCCCAGTCTCTGACCTCATGGAGCCCACAGCCCACTGGGGAACAGAGATTAAGCCATGAAACACGAAGATGAGTGCTACAAAGACATGAGCCGGGAGCTACTAGAGTATCAGGACCGACCTCCTTTAGACCGCTGGATGGGAGAGTCGTTTGTGAGGGAGTGACTTTTAAGCGGAGGGCTGAAGGGTGATCTGAGGGAGCTGCTCTTGGCCACCGATCGCCGCGCGGCTCCCCAGGCCCTTGGACTGGGAGCCTGGACCTAGGCGGGGCGGGAAGGCGCGGGCCAGGAAGGCCCGGGCCAGGGGCGGAGCCACCTCGGAGGCGAAAGCCGGAAAGCGGAAGCCGAAGGCTGCTACCCGGTGGTCGGCTAAGCGGCTCTAGCCCAGCTCTCAGACGGCTGAGTCACTGCCGCCCGGCCCGGCCCGGAAAAGACGAGCGCCGCCGCCGCGGCCGCCTCTCGGGCTCCCGGGCTCTCGGGCTCTCGGGGTCCCGGGCCTTTGCACCTGTCTTTTCCAGCTGGGCACAAAGCCTTTTGCTGTCGCCGTGGCGACTGGCGGCCTAGCGAAGACCTCCTTTACTTTTAATCCCCCTCATTTTCCAATCCATTCTCTGCTTATTTTCTGGTCAGTCCGTGACCCTCTAGGCGGGCTCGGACCCGCGATCGATTTGCCGCCCTCAGGGCGCTGGGCAGCCCGGCTGCCTACGAGGCTGGGGCAGCCTCCGCGGTCTCCATGGTAACGGCCTCGCCGGCGTTTCCGCCTAGGTGCGAAGATGCGGCCTGCCCTGCCCGCCGCCTCGCCCCCGGCCTTACGGTGGGACCCCGGGCACTGAGGACGAAGGTCCCGGGCGCCGGCCCGCGGGGCAACGGGCACTAGGTGAGAGCCGGACGCCGGGGAGCGAAGGAGGCGGGTGCCGGGCGACTCCAGCGGCCGCCCCTGCCCCTCCCCCGCACCCACGAACACGCTCGCCCGAAATATTGCAGAGGCTTCTCCGGTCGCCGCTGCGCCAGTTTTTGTTTGTTTGTTTGTTTGTTTGTTGTGTTTTCCCTGGCAAACAGCTGGAGAAAGAGCAGCTCATGGAGAGGCTGAGAGAAGCGGTTTTCGAGTCCTACCCAAATTGGGAGAGTAACCTTCAGCAGCTGGACTCACCGACTGGTTTTCCTTCATTTTCAGTGAAATCCCATTCTCTGGCTGGAGACACAGATGGCCTCAAATGAGAGAGATGCTATATCGTGGTACCAAAAGAAGGTAATACCAATATATATATTTTTTATTTCTAACGCATTCTTCCTGCAAAAAGCTCTCACAAATAGTATGTTACTTTCCCCTGAGTTTGGTAGTGCCAGGTGTTCATGTATACTTCAACATAAATGGAAAAAAAAAAAAAAGATGTACAAGGTCATTATGTTTTTTAAACCCGGTTCCAGGTCCTGGAATAAGGTTTACAGGCCACCTCCCTTCTTCAGGCTGCGTACACAATGCCACCGCAATGCTTTGAAAGTTTGCTTCTGATCAAACTACTTAAAAACAAAAAGACATGAAACCTTAATCTGCACAGCTCAGATTGATACTATTAACAGTCTTATTGAGCTGTTCCTTATCTTTTATTCCTCTCTAGTTTTTCTATTGCTGTTTTCCTTAATAAGCGGATTTTATTTTATTTTTTTTTGAGATGGAGTTTCGCTCTCGTTGCCCAGGCTGGAGGGCAATGGCGCGATCTCGGCTCACTGCAACATCTGCCTCCCGGGCTCAAGCTGTTCTCCTGCCTCAGCCTCCGGAGTAGCTGGGATCACAGGCGCCCACCACCACGCCTGGCTAATTTTTTGTATTTTTAGTAGAGACGGGGTTTCACCATGTTGTTCAGGCTGGTCTCGAACTGCTGACCTCAGGTGATCCACCCACCTCCACCTCCCAAAGTGCTAGAATTACAGGCGTTAGCCACCATGCCCGCCCAAGAAGTGGAAATATCTTTTAAGGTAATATTTAATTTGAAATGTTTTGGGCATTGCTTTTGAACTTACTTTTAGGTCCAGCTATTTTAGATATTTGAAAGAAACAGTCCTTGGAAGTATTAATTTATTCTAACTCCTGAGTAGCACATTTTCCACATAGCATATTGATACTTAATAGGCTCATGACTTTTGTGAGGCTTGACTTAGGTAAGGATTTCCTTTGCATCGTTTAAATACACTACTCCCTCTTTCAGATTGGAGCCTACGATCAGCAGATATGGGAAAAGTCAATCGAACAGACTCAGATTAAGGTAAATTGGTTTCTTTGATTCTGCCTATGTTTCACTGCATTAATATGAAGAGTGGAATTGTACTTACCTGGTAAACTCTCACTTAACTACCAGTATGGCATTCTTTAATCTTTGAAGGTTATAAGAAAAACAGTGCAAGCATAATGAGAAGTGACACTTGATTTTTGGCCTCACTATCAGGAAAACAGAAAGGGGTGAGTTCTGTGATGAATTAGAGAGCAAATGTCCCATGTAAATAGGGCTGGGTTACTTAGCTCTGGCCAGTTTTTTACTACATAGCAGTGCAGGTCCAAATATTGCCAGAGTTTCAGATTTTTCAAGAGAAGCTGGAAATACACATTTTTATATGAAATATATTGTGCATTTTATGTCAGATTTTTAAGAGACTCTTCCTTTTCTTCCTCCTCCTCTGCAAGCCAAATAAAATCCATTTGTGGCCTGAATCCAGTGTATGGTCCCCCATTTTATTCAATCACTAGCTTAGAGTATGGGATTTTGTTTGTTTGTTTTGTTATGTTTTTGAGACGGAATCTCACTCTGTCGCCCAGGCTGGAGTGCAGTGGCATGATCTTGGCTCACTGCAAGCTCTGCCTCCCGGGTTCATGCCATTCTCCTGCCTCAACCTCCCGAGTCGCTGGGACTACAGGCGCCCACCACCACGCCTGGCTAATTTTTTTTTTTTTTGTATTTTTAGTAGAGATGGGGTTTCACCGTGTTAGCCAAGATGGTCTCGATTTCCTGACCTTGTGATCTGCCCGCCTCCGCCTCGCAAAATGCTGGGATTACAGGCATGAGCCACCGCGCCTGGCCTAGACTATGGTTTTAAGTTTTTCAGATTCTTAAACTTTTTTCTACATAGCTCTTAGAACTGAGAGGATTCTTATTTTATACTAACCAAGTGACCAAAAACTGATATGTAATTCAGAATGCCAGTTTATTAACTTATAATAGGGGAGGAGAGGGTTAAATCATCTTCTAATATTCCAAGGTCAGAGTTGTGGGGTTAAGCCATTTGAGGATGCTGGTACAAATTCGTCATGGAATGGTTGCTTGGTAACCAAATGTAATTGGATAGTCTTGAGATGTGGAAAAGCCTAAAGATCTATCCTTGGTCCTCAAAAGAATGTAACTGTCTGCAACTTTAATACTTAAATCTTACGGATTCAGGGCCTCACTTCCTTGGAAAGTACTGATAAATGCCAGCTGATTCTTGTTTTTGGATTATCTTTTAGAAAGTTTTGCTGCAGACCCTTCATTAATAATTAAAAAAACCTGGGTGAATACAACTTAATATTTGTTGTGTTAAATAGACCAATCAAGTAGAAAGCTACTTGAACGACAAATAGCCGACTAACTTTTCACAATTTGGTATAGTCTTTGATTATTTATATTAATGGCAGATGGGATTAGGATGAATAAGTCCCCGGATTTTATTTTGTAATTCTCTAAATCCTGTCCCGTTATTTTTTTGTGAGCTGCTAAACATCATTGATAGTAAGTGTGGTATAATGGAAACAGCATAGAAGTGGAGTCTGATCTTGTTTTGTGATCTCTAGCCTTGTGATCTAACCTTCTAGCCAATTTAAAGATTTCCTTCACTCTTTTTTTCTTTTTCTTTTTTGAGACAGTCTCACTCTGTCACCCTGGCTAGAGTGCAGTGGCATGATCTCGGCTCACTGCCAGCTCCACCTCCCCAGTTCACGCCATACTCCTGTCTTAGCCTCCTGAGTAGCTGGGAATACAGGCACCCGCCACCATGCCCGGCTAATTTTTTGTATTTTTTTTTAGTAGAGATGGGGTTTCACTGTTTAGGCCAGGATAGTCTCCATCTCCTGACCTCATGATCCACCTGCCTTGGCCTCCCAAAGTGCTGGGATTACAGGCGTGAGCCATTGCGCCCGGCCTGATTTCCTTCACTCTTATTTCCATGCCATTTAAAACATACCTTCCTTTTAGTGCACCATATGAAAGTTGTTAACCTGTGTGTGTTCATAGGCCTTAAGGGTAGGAAGTGTGTTTGTTTCCTACTCTGAGAACATCTTGATTCATACTGAGAACTCTGTTGCTATAGTTAATTGAACCCTATCCATCATGCATATTTTTACTCATTGTTCTCTCATAGGGTAAACTGCCTAATCATGCCTTAATGTATGCTTCTGAATTTAGCAGCAGTGGAAAGAATGAAATGTAAAATAACTATAAACATTTACTGAGCTGTCAGTGTGATAGTAGAAAGCTGGAAAAAAAATTACTCAACTAATGTGCCACACTTATACTAGGTGCTGAGAATACAGTGAAAAAGATAAATGTGATGCCTTCGTGGGTTTCACCGTCTAATAGTGATGGGAGAAAAGCCAAGATATCTTTTTAATATGCTTAAGTCTTAAAAAATGACCAAAGTATAGCATACAAAAAAATTAATGCTAAATTTAAAAATACATTAACACAAATACAATTTTTTGAAAACAAAAAAAAGAACAAATAAGCAAAAAAAAAATAAAAATATTAACATATCACAGTACTGTTATATAATTAAAAATTATATATGTAAAAGTATAATTCAGAATTATAAAAGACATAAATTTTAAAAATCTTAACTTGGATCATGAAAAATGGTACGAACTTTTCCATAAGTGTTTATTGAACTACAATGTTTAAGGCATTTTGTTGGGTGCTGAGCACAAGAGGACAAGTACTAACAAACAGAAGTATAAGACTTGTTTAAAGTAAGAGCAAGTAAGTAGCCCAATGTGATTGGAGAATAAGGTACACAGATGGAGTGATAGGCCATAAATCTATTTGGAGATTACTTGACTGCTTTACTAAGAACTTTAGATACTATTCTGTAGAAAATTGAAAGGTTTTAATGGTTTTTGAGTAGAGGAGTCACATCATATCTGTGTTTTTGAAAGAAATAAAAATATAGACATTATAATAAAATTATGAAATTATGGAATATTTCCAGAGTCATACTTATTATTCTTAATGTCTATATTAACAAAAAATGTCTAGTTTGACTAGGAAGGAAGATTTATAATGAATAATATTAATATTGAATAATCTAGAGAAAGAAAATAGTAATCAACCAAAGTAAAACAGGAAAAGAAATACCAAAAATAAAATGAAAGCATCCATTACATATTTATTTAACAAATATTTGTTGACTGCTTACCTACCATGTGTCAGACACTAGCTATGCCTACATAATGGTGAGTAAAAACATTCAATCTTTTTTTTTTTTTTTTTTCTGAGACAGGATCTGGCCCGGTTGCCCAGGTTGGAGTACAGTGGCATGAACACAGCTCCACTGCAGCCTCAACCTCCTGGGCTCAAGTGATTCTCCCACCTTAGCCTCCTAAGTAACTGGGACCACAGGCATGCACCAACAGGCTTGGATAATTTTTAAATTTTTTGTAGAGACAAGGTCTTGCCATGTTGTCCAGGCTGGTCTCGAATTCCTGAGCTCAAGCAACGTTTCCACCTTGGCCTCCCAAAGTGCTGGGATTATAGGTGTGAGACACTCTGCCCAACCATTTTTATTTTCATGGAATTTATGACAAAGTGGGTGAGAATAATAAAAAGAATCCTTCTAATAAGTGCAAATTACTTTGAGGCAAATACTGAGAAGAGGGCTATTTATAAGCTACTACACTTATAATAAGGGAAATAAATGAGCCTGGTTGCTGGGCATGGTGGCTTATACCTATAATCCTAGCACTTTGGGAGGCCAAAGTGGGAGGAGTGTTTGAGGCCAGGAGTTTGACACTAGCCTGGGCAACACAGGGAGACTCTCTCGCTACAGAAAATAAAAATTAACTGGCCCATAATGGCATCTGCTTGTGGTCCCAGCTACTCAGGAGGCTGAGATGAGAGGATTGCTTAAGCCTGGAGGTCAAGATGACAGAGACCCTGCCTCTAAAAAAAAAAAAGGCTGGGCATGGTGGCTCATGCCTGTAATCCTAGCAGGGAGGCCGAGGCAGGCAGATTGCATGAGCTCAGGAGTTCAAGACTAGCCTGGGCAACATGGTGAAACCCCTTATCTGCTAAAAATACAAAAATTAGCTGGGCATGGTGGCATGCGCCTGTAGTCCCACCTACTCAGGCGGCTGAGGCAGGAGAGTCGCTTGAGCATGGGAGGCAGAGGTTGCAGTGAGCTGAGATCATGCATTGCACGCCAGCCTGGGCAATAAGAGCGAGACTCCATCTCAGAAAAAAAAAAAAAAAAAAAAAAAAAAAGAACCTATTTAAGAAGGTCTCAGATAAGCTTTTGCTAAGGAATTGATTCTTAAAATGAGATCTGAAGCATGAGTAGCAGTTAATTATGTCAAGAACAAATATACTAATTCTACACAAACTTTTTCAGAAAATAGAGAAGGAAATATACTTCTCAGCTTATTCTATGAGACTAGTATTACCCTGAAACCTAAGCCAGACAAAGGCATCATAAGAACATTCATTATGAATGTATGTGTGAAAATCTTTAATAAGATATTAACAAAACCAACAACACATAAAATGGCTTATCTACTGTGACCACGTGGGAGTTATCCCAGGAATGCATTAATTTGAAAACAAAGTAATGTAATATACCATATTAATAGGATAAAGGACAATCACATATGATCTTCTCAGTAAATACAGAAAGAGCATTTAACAAAATTCAGTGCCGGCCGGGTGCGATGGCTCACGCCTTTAATCCCAACACTTTGGGAAGCCGAGGCGAGTGGATCACGAGGTCAGGAGATCGAGACCATCCTGGCTAACATGGTGAAACCCCGTCTCTACTAAAAATACAAAAAACTAGCTGGGTGTGGTGGCGGGTGCCTGTAGTCCCAGCTACTCGGGAGGCTGAGGCAGGAGACTCACTTGAACCTGGGAGGCGGAGCTTGCAGTGAGCCGAGATGGCGCCACTGCACTACAGCCTGGGTGACAGAGCGAGACTCCATCTCAAAAAAAAAAAAAAAAATTCAATGCCCATTAACGATAAACTAGGAATAGAAGGGAACTTCTTCAACTTATTAAAGATTGTCTAGGAAAAGCCTGCTACAAACTTCACACTTAATGGTTAAAGACTGAATGTTTTCCCCTAAAATCAGGAAAAAAGCAAGGATATCTGCTCTTACCATTTTTATTTAATATTGTCCTGGGAGTCCTAACCAATGTAATAAGCAAAGGAAAAGAGATGAAAGGCATTGAGATGACAAGGAATATGAAAACTGCCTTTACTCGTGACAACATAATCGCATGTTTAGAAAATCCTAATAATTCATATAAAAAACTACAGTAATGAATGTGGCAAAGTCTTCAAATACAAGATCAATATACAAAAATCAGTTGTATTTCTATATACCAACAATGGGTAATTCAAAAATAAAATTAAGAAAACAATTTTATTCATAATAGGAACAAATAATACAATTCTTAGGAATGTTTGACATAGAAAGTGTAAGACCTATACATGGAAAACTATAAAACATTGCTAAGAGAAATTAAAGAAGGCCTAAATAAATGGAATAACTTTTCATTTTCATGATCTGGAAGATTCAATATTGTTAAAATGTTAGTTTTCTCCAAATGTATCTATATATTCAATGTAATCCACTCAAAATTCCATCAGACTTTTGTTTTTGGTAGAGATTGATGAGCTACTTCTCAAATATATGTATGTAATACGAAGGATGTAGAATATTCAAAACAAATTTAAAAAGAATAGTGTTGGAAGATTTACATTACTATATTTCTAATACATCTGTTAGAACAAAACTAAAAAGACTAACGATACCAAGTGTTGGCAAGGTGATGGAGGAACTACAACTCTTCTACACTGCTGGTGGGCATGGAAAATGGAAAACAGTTTGGTGGTTTCTTAAAATGTTAAGTATATACTTCTCACATGACCCAGCATTTCCACTTCTAGGGTATCTACCTATATTTAGGGTATCTACTATATTTAATATTTTCTATCCAAGAGAAGTGAAAACATAAATACATGCAAATATTCATAGCAGCAGTAGCAGCAGTGTTCTTAATAGCCAGAAGTAGGAAAAATCCACGTGTCCATCACCTGGTGAATCAACTGGTATAAGCAAATGTGTTATAGTCATACAATGAAATACAATTCAGCAATAAAAACTGTTAATACATACTGCATTATGGATGAATATAAGAAATGTTATGCTAAGCACAACATATTGTGTGATTGTTTATATGAAATTTCTAGAAATCTATAGAAATAGAAAACAGATCAAAGATTGCCTATAGATTGAGGGGAACAGGGCTTTCCTGCAAACCGGCAGAAAGGAACTTTTTGGGGTAATGGAAATGTTCTAAAACTTGAGTGTGATAATGATTGAACAACTCTACAAATGTACTAAAAATCTAAATTTACTAAATCTGTAAAAATGAGTTAGTTTAATAGTATGTGAATTATACCTCAATAAAGCTGCTTTAAAAATTATACCAATAGAAAAAAGTAGGAAAAATAATAATGTAGTATACCAAAAATGTAAATGTATACATATTCACAATTAAAATTGTTTTCTAAATTTAAAAAAAATTTTATATTTTGTAGAGACAGGGTCTCACCACGTTGCCTAGGCTGGTCTTCAACTCCTGGGCTTAAGCAGTTCTGCCTCCCTGGCCTCCCAAAGTGCTGGGATTACAGATGTAAGCCACCACACCCAGCCCTAAATTTTTTTAATGAGAGTGTATATTAAATCTAATGTCTAACATTATTTTCAGTGATGGAGTGTAACTTAGTCCTCCAAGTTCTTATTTTAAGACTAAAATAAGAATCTCCCCTTTTACTACTCTTTTTTTTTTTTTTTTTTTTTTTTTGAGACAGAGTCTTGCTCTGTCACCAAGGCTGGAGCGCAGTGGCGCAATCTCGGCCCATAGCAACCTCCGCCTCCTGGGTTCAAGCAATTCTCCTGCCTCAGGCTCCCGAGTGGCTGGGATTACAGGCACGCACCACCACGCCCAGCTAATTTTTGTATTTTTGGTAGAGGTGGGGTTTCACCATGTTGGCCAGGATGGCTCGATCTCTTGACTTTGTGATCTGCCCACCTTGGCCTCCCAAAGTGCTGGGATTACAGGCATAAGCCACCACGCCTGGTCCCTTTTACTACTCTTTAGCATGCTGTTTGAGATACATGTGCTGAGATGAGCAAAACATTCTAATTAACATTATTAATATTATCTTTTTTGTATGCTTTCTTTTTACAAATTAATATTAGAGTGAACAAAAATCACTGTTTGAAGATAGCATGGCTTTGTATTTAGAGAATAAAAAAGGCTAATCAGAAACACAGAGACTACTTCAGCTGTGTTTGTAATGTTTTACTTCAGCATGATGGTGGCCCATATGATAGATGACACAGACACTCCTTATTAAAGATGACAGTTTGAGGCCAGGCGTGGTGGCTCAGGCCTATAATCCCAGCACTCTGGGAAGCTGAGGTTTTTGCTTGAGGCCAGGAGTTTGGGACCAGCCTGGGCAACATAGCTCTACAAAAAGATAAAAAAAATTAGCTGGATGTGATGACTTGCGCCTGTAGTCCCAGATACTGGGGAAGCTGGGTGGCGGGGATCACCTGAGCCTAGGAGTTTGAGGCTGTGGTATGCTATGATTGTGCCACTGCACTCTAGACTGGGTGACAGAGCAAGACCCTGTCCTGGGGGAAAAAAAAAAAAAACCCAAAAAACGATAGTTCAAATACATGCTCTAATCTCTCCTGAAACCTCTTTAAAAGTACAATAAATAAGAAAAAAACATGGCAGCCTGCAAGGACTAAAAGAATGGAAGAAGAGACTACAGTAAACGAGAGCTATCAATGCAATTTTGAAGGCTGGAAAATGAAGGAAGTAAACATCTAAGTCTCTGCAATAGGGAAAGCCAATAGGAAACAAGTAAAACCCATGTGATTAACTTCTGCAAGACTCAGGAATTAGATGTATCAGGTATATCTGTAGGAGTGAGGAAGAAATAAAGACAGGATTATTTGAGCATGTGTATAAGGGATAATAGACCTAGCCCCAGATCTTCCTTATTCCATGTAGCCACATAGTTACCCTTATCTTCCTCTGACAGAAGACCGGATTGAAGCTTGCTCTCTGGAGAGGCTGAGCCAGAGAAGTTCTGGATTCTGGAAGACCAAAAACAAATCAGAGTCTGGTGAGATGCTGCACTAACAATGGGGATTAAGTGAAAGTCTGGTGGTCAGATTTATAATCTGCAAACAGAAGACTGCAATTTCTTTTTGTCAAAACTGAGTAACCAAAGAGAACCTAAGGATACTGAAAAGTGAATGACTGGCCACGCCTCTGTAGTGAGGCCCACTATTCAAAATGCTTCACCCATTGCACAGTGAGCTTGCATTCAGTGTGTTAGTGCCTCTTAACTATAAATGGATAATTAAAGATCATCAAATATTTGAGACCTAAAGAAAAAGAAGAAAAAAGAAAAGAAGCAATGCGGAATCATAAGAACAGTGTTTTTAAAGATACAGTTACTACCTTTAAAAAACTGGACACTATAAAAAGACTGAGATATCTTCAGCAGATCTATTGTATAACATTGGTGACTATAGTTAGTAACAGTATATTGTATTCTTGAAAAATGCTAAGAAAGTGGATATTAAATGTTCTTACCACACAAATAATAACCATGTGAGGTAATGCATATATTAATTTGCTGGATTTAGTCATTCTACAGTGTATATCTACTTCAGAATATGTTGTACACACTGAATACATAGAATATTATCTGTCAATTTAAAAATTAAAAAAGAATGCTTAAAAGATAGAGTATAGATGAGAAAGTAAGAAGACTTGAAAATAAAAATAATCAGAATAAATTCAGTGGTGTCTGGGTACAGTGGCTCATGCCTGTAATCCCAGCACTTTGGGAGGCCGAAGTGGATTGCTTGAGCCCAGGAGTTCAAGGTTAGTCTGGGCAACATGGTGAAACCCTGTCTCTACAAAAAATAAACAATTAGCTGGACTTCGTGTTGCGCCCCTGTAGTCCCAGCTACTTAGGAGGTCAAGGTGGGAGATCATCTGAGCCTGGGAAGTTAAAGCTGCAGTGAGCCATGATTGCACCACTGCACTCCAGCCTGGGTGACATAGTGGGACCCTGTCTCAAAAATAAACACATAAATAAATAGAAATTAAAATAAATTCAGGGGAAAGGTTAGAAGATAAATTTGAGACCATTTCCCAGAAAAGTAGTATAAAAAAGAATGACAAAAAAGAAAATAACAAAGTGAGTGCAGTTCGTACAGGAAATGTAATATCCAACTAATAGATGTTCCAGAAAAAGGAAATACATGGAGAGGAAGAATAAATAATTCAAAAAAAATTGCCCCAGAAATTCAGTACTGTATATGTATTTCCAGATTAAAAGGATCTTTTGGTTGGGCATGGTGGCTCACGCCTGTAATCCTAGCACTTTGGGAGGCTAAGCCAAGAGGATCCCTTGAACCCAGGAGTTTGAGACCAGCCTGGGCAACAAAGTGAGATCCCATCTCTACAATAAAATTAAAAAATCATCTGGGTGTAGTGGTGTGTGCCTGTAGTCGCAGCTACTCAGAAGGCTGAGGTGAAAGGATCCTTTGAGCCTGGGAGTTTAAAGGTGCAGAGAGCCGTGAATGCAACACTGCACTTTGACCTGGGCGACAAGTGAGACTCTGTCTCAAAAGAAAAAAGAAAATAAAACGATCTTTTGAGTCATCAGCATTGTTTGGTGATGTAATGATCATTAATAGTGTGGAGTATGTGTCTTGCATTATTTTAAGCAACACACACAATTGATCCTCATGATAATCTTATGAGGTATGTGCTATTATCTTTCCCTTTTTATAGGTGAAGGAATTGAGGCATAGAAAGGCTAAATGGAAAGTTATTTCCTCATCTTCAACAGTAAGAAATGAATGGATAACATCTGAAATTGATTAAAGCACTGTAAACTTTTTTTTTTTTTTAACAAATAAAAAATAGCTAGGATATATGAATCAAGGGTAAGGAAGGGTGAGACTGGAATGTTATTTTTTATTAGCCTTGTAATATGAGAATTATTTTAGTACAAATAAAGATTTAATTTTAAAACATTTTTCCTCCAAAACCAAATAATATATTAAATGATGTTACCTGAGTAATAGGCTATACATATATTTCCATATGAGATAGTTATATTTAGAGGTATATGAGTATTTAGGTATATTGGCTATACCAATATGCTTTATTTATACCGGTGCCAAAACGAACAAATCTCATCAGCATTTAGGCAAGAGCTTTAGAGTCAGATGGACTTAACTGTATATTATAGTAATTTTCCTAATTATTCACTACCTGTAATTATTCTTTCCTGTAAGAAGATTATATGGCTGCACTTACTGTCATGTGACTTGCAGTGCCTTCCTATAAGAGGAGAATTCTTCCTGGCCCCACAGACTTCCACCTTAGTCATGGAATTTGCTTGGCCAGTGGAATGTGAGCTGAATGTGACCTTCCTCCCATGACTCAATACTTTTTTTTGTTTTCTTACCTTTCCTATTCAGTGACTTGCTAAAATACTAAAGTCAGGGTTTAGAGTTCTTCACCTTGACCCTAATCTCACATTTTCAGTTACCAATACTTCTGGATTATACCTGCTAAATATCTTTTGAATATGAGTACTGTTCCCAGTTCACACTTCTAATTACTGGTCTGACCTATTGTCTACTCATCTGGTTGGCAAACTATTGCTTATGTGCAAATCTAGCTGGAACCCAGCCAGGTGTAGTGCTTTACATATTTATATTCAATGTCTGTGTCTGCTGTAGGGCTACAGTGGCTAAGTTGAGTGGTTGTGACAGAGATGGTATAGTCCAGCAGTCCCCAATCTTTTTGGCACCAGAGACCAGTTTCATGGAAGATAGTTTTTCTGTGGACTGGGGGGATGGTTTTGCAATGATTTAAGCACATTACATTTATTGTGCACTTTATTTCTATTATTACCTTGTAATATATAATGAAATAATTACACAGCTCACCATAATGTAGAATCAGTGGTAGCCCTGAGCTTGTTTTTCTGCAACTAAACAGTCCCATCTGAGGATGATGGGAGACAGTGACAGATCATCAGGCATTAGATTATCATAAGGAGCACGCAACCTAGATCCCTTGAATGTGCAGTTCACAATGGGGTTTGCACTCCTGTGAGAATCTAATGCCACCTCTGATCTGACAGGAGGTAGGGCTCAGGTGGTAATTCGAGCAGTAGGGAGTGGCTATAAATACAGATGAAACTTCCCTTGTTCTCTCACCTGCCACTCACCTCCTGCTGTGCAAACCGGTTCCTAACAGGCCACCGACCACTATTCCATGCCCTGGGTATTGGGGACCCCTGGTATGGTCCATAAAGCCTGAAATGCCATCTGGCCCTTTATAGAAAAATTTTATCCACTCCTGATTAGATTACTGGAGTAGGTTTTTTAACTTTCTAACTGCTTTCTTTTGCTTCCTATCTCTCCTTACCCTCCATCTGTTCTTTATAATGAAGCCAGGTTGTTGTTTTTTGGTTTCTGTTTTAATACAAATTTGATTATTTTTCTCATATTTAAAACTGTTTCCTGACTTCCTAGTACCCTTACAATAAAATCATACTCCTAGCATGATTATAGTTTTCACATTATGACTTCTCATCTCACAGGTTTACCTCTTACCCATGTCTTGACCTCTTTTCACTTCCACTGTGTGCTTTAGGCCTTCTCAAACTTACTTTAGTTTTTACCATGCTATCTCTTATTCGTGGGTCCTCTCATATGCTTTTCTTTCTTTCTTGCCCTCCCCTCCCCTCTCCTCCACTCCCCTCCCCTCCCCTCCCCGCCTCTCCCCTCCTATCCCCTTCTCTTCCCTTCCTTTCCCTTCTTTGGAGACATAGTCTTGCTCTGTCACGCAGGCTGGAGTGCAGTGACACGATCTCGTCTCACTGCAGCCTCTGCCTCCCTGGTTCAAGGAATTCTCTTACCTCAGCCTCCTGAGTGACTGGGACTACAGGCTCATGCCACCACTCCCAGCTCATTTTTGGCATTTTAGTAGACACGGGTTTCACCATGTTGCCCAGGCTGGTCTCCCTGAGCTCAGGGAATCTGCCTGCCTCAGCCTCCCAAAGTGCTGGTATTACAGGCGTGTTTCTTGATTCCTCATTTTGCTATATCCCATGTGCAACTTTACAAGTTCTTATACATCCTTCAGGTATCAGGTTAGATACTATTTTTCTTTGTGGAAATCTTTCTTGGACTTCTTAAATGTGAATAAGGTGTCCTTTATGGTTGTTCCTATAGTGCTACACTTGCTTGTAATTGTTGTTTTGTTGTTTATCATATGCCCCAAATCAGGGGTAACTTCCCTCTCTGCACCAGACTGTATAAATAGTTCAATTCTTTTGATGGTAATAAAATAGAAAATTTCAGCACACTAGGAAATAGAGATTTGTCACAGGGTTTCACTTGTTTTTTATTCCTTGTTTAATACAAAGTCCAATTATATTGCATCAATACCTCCAGTGTTTTTGTTCCTCTTCCAAAAAGTGGGAACTTCATTTGTCAAGTGGTTCCGAGCTTGTGATGATGTTGCACAGTTATGTTGGGGGCAAACAATAGAGAGGGCTGTGTATAGCCTACAGCTGGGGATGTGCAGAGAATTCCCCTACCACTATTCTGGCAACTAGTGATTATCCTGATTCTCTCCTACAACCTTTTCCTGGACTGCTGAGGTAGAGGTTGTGGCCAATAGGAAAATCCACTCCTAATGCCCATTGAACCTCTCAAAGTTAAGCAGTCTTGTTTGATTTAACAAAACCTCTCTCTACATTGATTAGGGATGCATTTTGTGTCATATAGCAAAAGGCAGGATTGTGTAGTGGTTAGAGCACAGACTTTGGAATGAGAATGACAGGATTGGAATCTCTGCCTTGGTTGCCTCATCTGTAAAGTGAGGATAATAAAGGTACCAATATCATAGGACATTTGTGAGGACTAAATGAGTCAAGTTAAGTACAGTCATGTGCCACATAATGATGTTTCAGTCATTGATGCTCCTCATATGGTCCCATAAGATTATAATGGAGCTGAAAAATTCCTATTGCCTAGTGATTTTGTAGCCATCCTAAAGTCATAGCATGACACATTACTCATGTGTTTAGAGTGATGCTGGAGTAAACAAACCAAATGCACTGTCAGTCATAAAAAGTATAGCATACAGTTACGTACAGTACCTAACACTTGATAATGATAATAAATGACTATATTACTGGTTTATATATTTACTGTACTATACTTTTCATTGTTATTTTAGAGTGGACTCCTTCTATTTATTTAAAAAAAATCAGTTAACTGTAAAACAGTCTCAGGCAGGTCCTTCAGGAGGTATTCCAGAAGAAGGCATTGTGATCATAGGAGATGACAGCTCCCTGTGTGTTATTGCCCCTGAAGACCTTACAGTAGGACAAGATGTGGAGGTGGGAGACAGTGATATTGATGATCCTGACCCTATGTAGGCCTTGGCTGTGTGTGTTGGTATCTTAGTTTTTAATTAAAAAGTAAAAAAAAGAAGAAAGAAAAAAGCTTATAAAGATGAAAAGAAAATGTGTGTTTTTAAACTGTTATTACAAAAGAGTCAAAAAGTTTAAAAAACCTATAAAGCTTATAAAGTAAAAGCATTACAGTAAGCTAAGGTTAAGTTATTATAGAACAGACTGGTTGAGGTGGCTCATGCCTATAATTCTAGCACTTTGGGAGGCCACGGCAGGAGGATCACTTGAGACCAGGAGTTTGAGACCAGCGTGGTTGACAAAGCAAGACCCCTTCTCTACAAAAAAAAAAAAAAAAAAAAAAAACAACTTGGGAGGCTGAGGTGGGAGGATTGCTTGAGCCCAGGATAATGAGATTGTAGTGAGCTGTGATCGTGCCATTGCACTATATCATGGGCAACAGAGTAAGACTCTGTCTCAGAGAAAAAAAAAAGTTACTGTTGTAGAAAGGAAGATTTAAAAAAATGTGATGTGTATCTTATGTTTACGGTGTTTATGAAGTCTACAATAGTGTACTATAGCGGTGTCCTAAGCTTTTACTTTCATTGACCACTCACTCACTGACTTACTCAGAGCAACTCCCAGTCCTGAGAGCACTATTCATAAGTGCCCTATACAGGTGTACCATTTTTTATTTTTTAGTTTTCTTTTTTGAGACAGAGTTTCACTCTTGTCGCCCAGGCTAAAGTGCAATGGTACGATCTTGGCTCACTGCCACCTCAGCCTCCCGGGTTCAAGCGATCCTGCCTCAGCCTTCTGAGTGGCTGGGATTACAGGCGCCCACCACCACACCTGGCTAATTTTGTATTTTTAGTAGAGATGAGGTTTCACCATGTTGGCCAGGGTGGTCTTGAACTCCTGACCTCAGGTGATCCTCCTGCCTTGGCCTCCCAAAGTGCTGGGATTACAGGGGTGAGTCACCACGCCCAGCCCCATTTTTTATCTTTTATACCATATTTTTACTATACCTTTTCTAGGTTTAGACACAAATACCACTGTGTTTAAAATTGCCTAAATATTCTGTATAGTAATATGCTGGACAGACTTGTAGCCTTGGAGCAATAGGCTGCCATATAGCCTAGGTGTGTAGTAAGCTATGTTCAGGCAACAGTGAAATCACTTAAAGATGAATTTCTTAGAATGTATCCCTGACATTAAGTGATGCATGACTATATGTGAAAGTGCTTAGGATAGTGCCTGGCATGTACTTCCTCTTATACATACCTGCACGGTGGAAGATAAAGCAGAAGAATTCTAAAACAAAAGTATGGAATGTGGTTTTTACTCTCCCTCAGTACAAAATATACAGCAGTATATGGTGACTTTTCTAATCTTCCTTGAGATCAGTGGTCATAAATTTATTAATGATTTCTGTCCCTTTAGGAATTAAAAAAATGGAGAGATTCAGAGGGCATTTTCCTGAGAAACCCTTGTACATTTGGCCTTATCGTTTGTCTTCCCTTCTATACTGTACATTCGTTGAAGATAGAGCCATGTTTTGACTTATTGTTTTATACCTAGCTCAAGCAGAGTATCTGACATATAGAAGATACTTGTGGAATATTTTTTGACTGGGTGAATGAATAAATGTGTTTCTATTGCTAAGGGAGATTTGGATAATTGTACCTCTAGTTAATGCTAATTCTAACGCTGTAACATTATTGGAGAAAAGTCTAGAAAGCAAAGAAAGTAGAAAGATTATTTTGACTCTAAAGTGATGGGGAATAGCACTGGTACAAATGTCTGGAAAGCTTAGCACTGGGACAAATGTCCAAAAAGGTATAAAGTAATATTTTTACCTTTAAATTTTTAATTTCTGATTTTGAATATAGCATACAAGATAATTGTTATTCTCGTGAAAATTATGCATATTTCAAAAATTAGTGTACATGTTTCTTCAAAGGGTTTTTTCCTTGAGTTGCCTCATTTTTAAATTTTGATTCCTTCTTTAATTTTATTACACTTGAGGTTTTAGAATATTTTTCTGTAAAATCTACAGCTTATGGTGAGTTGAATAGAAACATATAGGATTCACAAGAGAAATTGACTGCATCTGTTTAAACAAAGCTAAAGATCAATACTGGTTCAATGACCATGATAGGTAAATAGCAAATTATTGTAAACTTTAATTTTGGCATTAATTTTAATGATTGAATATCTAATTTTTAAGATGTAATTAAGAATTAGCATGTACAAATTATTTTATTATTATTTTCTAAATTAAGGGACAGGGTCTTGCTCTGTCGCCCAGGTTAGAGTGCAGTGGTATGATCTCAGCTCACTGCAACCTCCATGTTCCCAGTTCAAGTGATTCTCCTGCCTCAGCCTCCTGAGTAGCTGGGATTACAGGCACCCACCACCATGCCCAGCCACTTTTTGTATTTTTAGTAGAGACAGAGTTTCACCATGTTGGCCAGGCTGGTCTTAAACTCTCGACCTCAGGTATCCTCCCGCCTTGGCCCCTCCCAAAGTGTTGGGATTACAGGGGTGAGCCACCGTGCCTGGCCACTATTTCTCACCGTATACAAAAACCAAGCCAAAATAGATTAATGATTTAAATGTAAGACCTGAAACTGCTAGAAGAAAACATAGGGGAAATGCTTCAGAACATTGGTCTGGGTAAAGATTTTATAGAGAAGACCTCAGAAGCACAGGTAACAAGCAAAAATAGACAAATAGGATTGTATCAAACTAGAAAGCTTCCGCACAGCAAAGGAAACAATCAAGATTAAAGAGACAACCTACAGAATGAGAGAAAACATTTGCAAACTTTTCATCTGAAAAAGGATTAATATATATAAGGAACTCAAATAACTCAATAGCAAAAATCCAAATACTTCAATTTTAAAATGAACGATTGAGCTGAAGAGACATCTCTCAAAAGAAGACAATACAGACGGCCAACAGGTATATGAAAAAATGCTCGATATCACCAGTCATTAGGGAAATGCAAATCAAACCACAATGAGATACCATGTCAACCTAGTTTAGAATGGCTATTATCAAAAAGACAAAAAAAAAAAAAAATGCTGGCAAGGATGCAGAGAAAGGGGAATTCTTATACACTGGTGGTGTGAATGTAAATTAGTACAGCCACTATGAAAAACAGTATTGCGGTTCCTCAAACAACTAGAAATAGAACTACCATGTGATCCAGCAGTCTCAGTATATATCCAAAGGAAAGATAATCTATACGTCGAAGGAATATCTGTATTCCTATGTTTATTGCAGCATTATTCACAATAGTCATGACATGGAATTCATACGTGTCCATCAACAGATGAATGGATAAAGAAAATATGGTATATATACACAATGGAATATTATTTAGCTGTAAGAAAGAATGAAGTTGTGTCATTCACGGCAACATGAATGGAAATGGAGAACATTATGCAGAGTGAAATAAGCCAGGCACAGAACGATAAATACTTCGTGTTCTCACACATACATGGAAGCTAAAAAGTTGATCTCATAGAAGTAGAGAGTAGAATAGTAGTTACTAGAGGTGTGGAAGTGTAAGAGGGAGGGAACGACAGATAGCCAATGCTTGGTTAACAAATACAAAAGTACAGCTACATAGGAATAAGGTTTAGTGTTCTGTAGCACTGTGAGGTGGCTATAATTAACCACAATTTATTATATGTTTTCAGAAACCTAGCAGAGTGGATTTTGAATGAACCCAACACAAAGAAATGATAAATGTTCAAGGTGATATAGTTTGATCATTATACATTGTATACATGTATTGAAATATCACATTCTACCCCATAAATGTGCACAATTATAACGTGTCAATTAAAAATAGTAGAGCAAAAAAAAAGATGAAAGTTATTTGTTTTTGAGGAGTGAAATTCAGAGGAGAGGAGAGATGGCTCAGGGGGCTATTATTTTTCATGTATTGATCTGTTGGCACTATTCGAATATTTTAAAAAGTGATAAAGTATGTGGATGCATTAGTGGAGAGGATTAAAAACTAAAACAAAATGTGTATTAATGGCAAGTTCCTTTAAGGAGCTTTAGGATTAAAGTGTCCTTAGTAAAAGGGAATCAGATATACAGAAAAAAAAATTTAAGTTTATTTTCTGTATTTAAAAGGGCTTTTCTGACTGGGCACAGAGGCTCACACCTATAATCCCGGCACTTCTGGGAGGCCGAGGTGAGTGGATCACCTGAGGTCAGGAGTTTGAGACTAGCCTGGCCAACATGGTGAAACCCCATCTCTACTAAAAATACGAAAAATTAGCCGGGCTTAATGGTGGGCACCTGTAATTCCAGCTACTTAGGGGGCTGAGTCAGGAGAATCACTTGAACCCGGGAGGCAGAGGTTGCAGTGAGCCGAGATCACACCATTGCTTTCCAGCCTGGGCAACAAGAGCGAAACTACGTCTCAAAAAAAGAAAAAGTAAATAAAAGGGCTTTTATTTATTTCTGGTTTTGTTTTTGTTTTGTTTTATCCTAGGGTTTGAAAAACAAACCAAAAAAGATGGGCCACATAAAGCCAGACTTGATTGACGTTGACTTAATCAGAGGTTAGTTCTAAAATTGTTTTTTATGTACATTATTATATTATTTCAGGTGGTGCCTAATTTTTAATATCTTCTCTATATGATGGTGTACTTTAATTTCCAAATGTAACACTTTACTCTCATCACTCAGGCTTTAGCACTTTTTCTACCTCTGCCTTAATACTGTGTGGCTCTATAAATTACATGCATACATGTAAAAGAGGGATGAACATAGAGATTTGCTGTTGTGTAATTAGATAAATAGGTTGTTTAACATTCAAGTAAGCCTGACTTATTTTGAGCTTCCGTCCTAGTGATTGAGGCAAGAAGTTATTACATTTAACAAACATCTAAGAGGGTTTTTTCTTTTTTTTTTTTTAACTGAACAGGTTTTGTGCTGATGTTTGCACTCACCTGTTTTTAATGTAGTGCTACAGGTGGGCATCAATACAGTGTATATAAATGTTTGATGTTTTGTTTTATTGTATGTTTAAAGGGTCAACATTTGCCAAAGCAAAACCTGAAATTCCATGGACATCTCTGACTCGGAAGGGGCTTGTTCGAGTTGTATTTTTTCCATTGTTCAGCAATTGGTGGATTCAGGTTACCTCTTTAAGAATCTTTGTTTGGCTGTTACTACTTTATTTCATGCAAGGTAATTGGCAGAGTTGGAATAAGCAATGACAGTTTCTTTTTGCTGCTTTTGCTATTAAATAATTATCTACAGTTTTTACATTTACCCTTTCACTTGACGGTTTAAAGTATGCAGAAGTGAAGAGACATAGGCCATTCGGGGTTCATCTTAAAATTACCTGCTACATTAGAGCAAACATACTTGTGTAACTCTTTCTCTTCACTTGGATTTCTTTCTACCTGTCTCACTGGCCAGGCCTTTTCTGTCTTTTCTTGTGTCTGACCTCTGAGCCTTTGAAATTGGGTATGTGTGTTTTTTGTTTTTGAGACAGGGTCTCTCTCTGTCACCCAGGCTGGAGTGCAGTGGCATGATCACAGCTCACTGCAGCCTTGACCTCCCAGACTCAAGCAATCCTTCCACCTCAGCCTCCCAAATAGCTGGCACTACAGGCGTATGCCCTTGTGCCTGGCTAATTTTTGTATTTTTTTGTAGAGACCAGGTGTTGTCATGCTGCCCAGGCTGGTCTTGAACTCTTGGGCTCAAAAGTGTTGGGATTACAGGTATGAGCCACCATGTTCCGCCTGAATATTGGATTACCTAAAGTTTGCACCCTAGGTTCTGTTCTTTAAGTAGTCTCATTAAGGCCTGTTGCTTTAAATATAATTGATATACAGATGATTCCCAAGTCTGTATCTTCAGGCCAGATCTCTCTGCTGAACTTCAGACTTACAGATCTAATTGGCTGCTTGACATTTCCATATGGAGATTTAATTATATAAATCTGGTATCAAGATACCAGATGGTATCTTGAACTTAATTATATAAAAAATGGAACTCTTGACTTGTGTGTGTGTGTGCTGCACACATGTGTATGTGTGTGTAAACTTGTTCCTGTTTGTGTCTCCAATTCATTAAGTGATACCATCAGTCACCCAGTATTCAGGTGAAAAATGAAAGCTTCCTACTCTACCCTACCATCAACTCTCATGTGTAATCTATCACCAAGTCTGTGAGTTCTTCCCCCAGATTTGTCACTCTATTTATCTCAGTCTCTGCTGCCATGATCATTGTCCACAGCACCAGCATTTCTTTGCTTAGACCACTGGAATAACATCTACTCTGAGCCTTCTTTCTACCAATCATTCTTTCCACAGCAATTAGCAAAATCTTTTAAAAACAGAAACCATATAATGTCATTTTCCTGCTTAAAACCCTGTAGTGACTTCTGTTGACCTTAGAATAAAAATCCAAAGTTCTTACCATGGCCTATACTGCCCTGCAGGACCTGGTCCCTGTTCTCCTCTCAGACATCATCTTCTCTATTTCTTACCACTCTGTTTGTGCTGGCTCTAGGCATAATGTCCTTTTTTTTGTTCTTCACACACAGCTGTTTTGTTTTGTTTGAAGCATTTGGAGTTTGGCTGTTTTTTCCCAGGCTGGAGTGCAATGGTGCGATCTCGGCTCACTGCAACCTCTGCCTCCTAGGCTTAAGTGATTCTCGTGCCTCAGCATCCCGAGTAGCTGGGATTATAGGTGTGTGCCACCATGTCCAGCTAATTTTTGGTATTTTTAGTGGAGATGGAGTGTCACCATGTTGGCCAGGCTGTTCTCAAACTCCTGACCTCAGGTGATCCGTCCGCCTCAGCCTCCCAAAGTGTTGAGATTACGGGTGTGAGTCACTGCACCCGGCTGTTTGAAGCATTCTTAAGGCTTTTAAAATGGCTGGCTTTTTTCTCACCTTTAAATCTCAGCTGGGATGTAAATTCCATAAAGAGACCATTCCTATCTATATTTCTAAGTAGTCCTAATACCCTCTAGTCACTATCATAAGAATCAATTTTAATTTCTGGGTTACACATCACTACCTGATGTTTTCTAACTGTGTACAGGGACCCAGTGTATTCTCTTTACGAATGTATCCCCATTGTCTACCAAGGAAGTAGGCAGTATGTACTATGGTTACACCTGCGCAAAAAGGCATGAATTAGAACAAAGAGTGGGAGAAAGTTGGGTTAAGGTGAAAGAATTATGTTTTTTTTTTTCTTTTAACTGTGTCAGTTTAAAAAATTTTTAAGTTATAGAGTGAAAAATATATGTATATATTTACAGATTTATAGGTTTAATATTTTTTAAGTTGTGAAAGTGTCATTTATTAGAATATCTGTAATGGAAGTGTTCCACATCTGTGCTGCCCAGTATAGTAGCTACTTAGCCATATGTGGCTATTGAGTATTCAAAATGTAGTTAGTGTCAATAAGAGACTGAATTTTAAATTTTATTTGATTTAAATTAAGTCTTCATAACCATCATTTTAATGGCTGCATAATCATTCATCACGTGGACATACCGTCATTTAAAACTATCATTTTAATGTCTGTACAGTCTATCATATGTAGTCATAGGTATCATATGGATTTATAAACATCTTTATATGGCTGCCTTTTTTTTTTTTCTTTTTGAGACAGAGTCTCACTGTTGCCCAGGCTGGAGTATAGTGGTGTGGTCTTGGCTTACTGCAACCTCTGCCTCCCAGGTTCAAGTGATTCTCTTGCCTCAGCCTCCCAAGTAACTGGAACTACAGACACACACCACCACGCCTGGCTAATTTCTGTATTTTTAGTAGAGAGAGGGTTTCACTATGTTGGCTAGGCTGGTCTTGAACTCCTGACCTCAGGTGATCCTCCTGCTTCAGCCTCCCAGAGTTCTGGGATTACAGGTATGAACCACCACACCTGGCCTATATAGCTTTTTAATAGTCCATTATGTAAGAGTACTGTAATTTATGTAACCTTTCTCTCTGAGTCTGTTCAGGCTGCTATAAGAAAAATATCATAGACTGGGTGGCTTATCAACAACACAACTTTATTTCTGACAGTTTTGGAGGCTAGGAAGTCCAGGATCAAGGTGCCAGAAGATGTGGTATCTGGTGAGGACCTGATTTCTGATTCATTGGTGTCAGTCTTCTTGCTGTGTCCTTATGTGGTGAAAGGGGCAAGGGAGCTCTTAGGAGTCATTTTATAAGGCCACTTCCATGAGGGCACTCATCCCCAAACTTACCAACTGGTTATATGTGACTGGGGACCTCCCTAATATGCTGTCTCACTTTTTACAATGTGCATAGGCTGATAACTTTTCAAATCTTTAAGTTAATCCTTCCTTTTTGCTTAACAATTCTGTCTTTTAAGTCATTTCTCTCTTCTCACATTTTACTGTGAGAAGCACATAGGAAGAGCCAAGCTGTACCTTTATCACTTTGCTTAGAAATAGCTCCAGCTAAATATGCAATTTCATCACTTGCAAGTTTCACTTTCCACAGAATCCTAGACCATAAATACAGTTCAGCAAGTTCTTTACCACTCTGTAACAGAGTGTTTTTCCTTCAGTTTCTAATAACATATTATTTCTCATTTCTATCTGAGACCTCATCAGAATGGACTTTACCTTGTATTTTACCAATACTCTGTTCATGGTTACTTAGGTATTCTCTAAGAAGACTGAGGCTTTTTCTGTAGCTCCCCTCTTTTCTTTCTTTGTTTTTGTTTGTTTTATTTTGTTTTTCAAGACAGAGTCTTGCTCTGTTGCCCAAGCTGGAGTGCAGTGGCACGATCTTGGCTCACTGCAACCTCCGCCTCCCGGGTTCAAGCGATTCTCCTGTCTCAGCCTCCCGAGTAGCTGGGATTACAGGCGCCTGCCACCATGCCTGACTAATTTTTGTATTTTCAGTAGAGATGGGGTTTCACCATGTTGACCAGGCTGAAAGTCCTGACCTTAGGTGATCCACCCGCCATGGCTTCCTAGTGCGTTGGGATTACTGGCGTGAACCACTGCACCTGGCCTCCTCTTTTCTTTCTGATTCCTCACCAGAATCTCTTTTAAAAAGGTTTAAGGCAATCCAGGCTTTTTCTACTGTGTACCTCAGTATTCTTCTAGTCTCTACCCATTACCTATTTCTAAAGCTGCTTCCACATTTTTAGGTATTTGTTATAGTAGGACCCCAATTCTCAGTACCAATTTCTATCTTATGCCACTTGGGCTGATAAAACAAAAATATCATGGCCTAGGTGCTTTATAAATAACAAAAATTTATTTTTCACAGTTCTGGAGGCTGAGAAGTTCAGATCAGAGCACTAGCAGATTCAGTGTCTGGTGAGGGTCTGCTTCTTTCTGGGTCCTCATGTTGCTGAAGGGGCACAGGAGCTCTCTGGAGTCTCTTTAATAAGGTTACTAATCTCATTCATGAGAGCTCTGCCTTCATGACCTAATCAGCTACCAAAGGCCCCATCTCCTAATATGGTCACATTAAGGATTAGGATTTCAATATGAATTTTGTTGGGGACATACTTTCTAGCATCTTCCCATATTGTGGGCATTTAGGTTGTTTCTATGTTTTTTCTATTAATAATGCCATCAGGAACAAAGTTTTCCTTATTTTATATTATTTCTTTAGAATTTGTTCTTTGAAATAGAATTAACAGATCAAAGAATGCGGACATTTAAGGGTTTTTGTACATACAGTGAAATTGCTGGTGGCACAGTTCTTTTGGAAAGCAATAGATGAGGATACTTGTTTTACCATGCATTATTATAATTTTAAAATTGTTATCTAGGTGGGGGGCGGTGGTTCAAGCCTGTAATTCCAGCACTTTGGGAAGCTGAGGTGGGAAGACTTGAGGCCAGGAGTTTGAGACCAGCTTGGGAAACATAGCAAGATCCCATCTTTAAAAAAAAAAAAAAGAAAAAAAAAAGTTTAAAAAATTAGTGGGGCATGGTGGTGCATGCCTGTAGTTCCAGCTACTTATGAGACTGAGGTGGGAGGATCACTTGAGCCCCCAGGAGTTTGAGGTTACAGTGAGTTATGATTCATCACTGCACTCTAGCCTGGCTGACAGAGTAAGACCCTGATTGCATCTCTGCCCACACCTGCAACAAAAAATTGTTACCTAATTTGACACGCAAAAAATATTTTGCTTGTTGAATATGCATTTCCTTGGTCACTTGTAAGGGTGAAATTTAGGTATTTT